TGTTAAAAGCTGCTCAAAGCAGCTTTTTTGACTAGCTTTTTGAGAGTCATTTTTCATGTAATCAGCTAACAGCTAATTTACCAAACGTCTTTCTATGATCAAACAATACTATTAACTAATCAAACCCACTAATCCAATCAGCCAAGTACCCAACAACTATTTACCAAATACCCCATAATCTACGGATGTTCTTTAGGGCGAGTATTTTCACATTTCAACTATGATTTAAGATTGTGTCAGTTCCAATAGAAATAGTTCTCCCAAGATAAAACTAATCCAGTCAAGATTGGACCAGTTTTATTTAAAACAATTCTATATACAACGAATTTAATCTCGATTGGGTCAGTAAATTCGTTACTGCATACACATAGCTTCGAACTCCATGTTAATTATTAGTTTGGTAACCATGTTTATAGACTAACAGTTGAGCTGCAGTTAGCTGCAAGGAGGTTTCATGAGGTTGCTTGACAGCCAAACATTCCAAATATTCGATTCCAAACAACATTGGTGTCTCATTAATCTTGGATAGTAGTCATCTTTTCAACAACAAAAGCCTGACATTTCATACCCAAACCTCAAACAACAATGCCCCATTCTTCCTTCATAATCTTCATATAAAATTTCCTGTCAGATCACAGCTTGCATGTGCTGGGAGATTTGGGTTTCATCTTTGCCTCAATTACTATGTAAGTTTGTTCTTTATAAAAATTCTTGGCGTTACAAATTAGCCATTTTTGTCTGATTGCCATGGTTACTAAATAATTTTTCATTGGACCATCAATGATTGAAAATTAAGGAAATACACTATATAGTTAGCCTACTAAATTTTCCAACCATCAGAAAAAAGTGGTCAGAATTTCCAACAACTTTTATGGCATGTTTGGTTCGCTAGAAAAAGGAAAATGTTTTCCTTAAATTTGAGGAAAACTGGTTTTTCTTTGTTTGATTCGTGGAAACCATTTCCCATGGCCCCCTTGGTATTCTGTTTTCCATCGAAAACAAGCAGGACAATTATGCCCTCACCAACTTTTCTTAATTACAATTATTATTGTTGTTGTTATAATTGTGTAGGAGTATAATTGTTATCAACTAGTCAAACTCACTAATCCAATCAGCTAACAACTATTTACCAAATCAGCAGTGTGTTTATGCTTCAATGTTTCATCCTAAGTTGTTTTGATGTTTTTTTCTGGAGAGTCAGATTGGAGCAGGCATACATGAATAAGCCAAAGGCATTCTTAAAGGACATATTCATAGGAGGGAGCAAACAATCCTCAAACCTCAGCAGAGAAGAAGGTCAGTCAGCTAAAGAGACAGATAAAATTCTGCATCCTCCCATCGAAACTTACTGGTATTTACCTCCACAAGAAGAGAGCAACAAGGCACCAAAACAGCAGAGGAGCAGGCGGCTATCATTCTCGTTCAAGAGGCGATTGCGAAAGAGCAAGAGTTTGCAGATGATTCTGCAGGGCAGCCATGATCCTAAAGACGAAGAAAAAGTCGATTCGTTTCGCGATTTTATCTTCCCCGACATCCCCCTTTCAGGGAAGCAATTTGACTACCATACCCTTCTACGGTATTCTTTTACACTATCAGCTTAGACTTTTAGTTTGCAGAACGTTCTGCTTCATTCTGGTGTTATGGTTGCAGGTTTCTTAGAATGAGGGACTATGATATGGTAAAAGCAAAAGAAATGTTTCTCAATTACCTCAAGTGGCGCGAGGAGTTTCGTGTTGATGCTATTTGCAAAGTTAGTTTCAATTTTCGTAAATGTGCAGTCCTACGATCAGTTAAACTTTTAGGTGATGCGGAAATCTTTGAACTTTGCAGGAGTTTAAGTACGAAGAATATAGAGAGGTTAAAGGGCTTTATCCACATGGTTTTCATGGAGTAGATAGATATGGCAGACCAATTTACATTGATAGGGTTGGCATGGTGGATATCAATAAGCTTCTTGAAGTGACAACAATTGAGAGATTTGTAAAGTACCATGTTTCTGAACAAGAAAAGACTCTTAATTTGAGGTATCCTGCATGTTCACTTGCTGCCAAGAAGCATATTGCTTCCACAACAAGCATCTTAGATGTTAAGGATGTGGTGAGAATCTTCACTTTGTCCCATTTCTCTTCTTTTCATTCTATATTACTAAAAGGGAAAGTCGCACTTCTGGTCAGCTGAGTTGTTGCCCGTTGTGCAACTTTAGCCCTTTCGTCCTTCGTTAAATTTTAAAAATTCAACTTCTCAATTATTCTAAACCCTTTGTCGTTTTATATAGTATCTATTCATAATTACTTTTCAACTTGCTGAAGTACAAAGAGTTAATATTGCCCCCACTAGGGATCGAACCCATGACCTTCTATTGGGCGAGTCATTTCGTGCCATTAGACCGCAAGGTCATTGGCAATCGACTTTTTTTTGGAGTACTATTGGCTCTGTTACAATGCAGTATCTGTTCATAATTACTCGACTTTCTTTCTATTAGCTTGTAAGTTATAACAATTGCAGAATCATAGTCTTAATTGCCTCAACTTTGTGCACAGGGGATGTCTAACTTTTCAAAACCTGCAAGATATCTCTTTCTGGAAATTCAAAAGATAGACAGCAATTATTATCCTGAGGTATGATGCAAGGCCTTTTGAAAGGATATAATGTGAAGTTTTAATTTCTCTGAAACAAAGTAAGAGAGTTCTTCATATTCTGTCATCTACTTATTTGCAGACACTACATAGGCTGTTCATTATCAATGCTGGATCTGGATTTAAGGTTCTATGGAAAGCAATCAGGGCTTTTCTCGATCAACGCACGCTGGCGAAGATCCAGGTGTTGAGCATATAATATATAAAATATAAATGTGTAGTCCAACTATCAGCTTAGACTTTTTAGTTGAAACAGAACAGAACACATCATTCAATTTCATATTTTTACCTGGAGAGAAATGAGACATAAAACACAAGGTTACCATTACAGGTGCTGGGGAACAACTACCTTAAAAACCTTGTTGAAGTTATTGATCCAAGGTAATGACTAAGGTTCCTTAAGAATGTTACTAGCTTGGATGAATAGGTGTTGGGCATATACGCGTGTGTAGTCTCAATATCGATTTAAATTTTTAGTTGAGATGGCTTGCATCGTTTAATTTGATATTAGAGTTAAGGAAGAACAGTCTTGTGGGGTGTCAAGGTGGGCCGAAGCCTGTGGGCCAGCCCTGAAACACCCTGCGGTGAGGCGGGTTAGGGCCTAGAATTTTTTGCCTGCGAAAATACGGGCTTCGTCGGTCCATGGTATAACTATAATTATCATCACCTTGGGTATTGATATTTCCTATCTGTTTAACTTTATAAAGACAGAACACGTCCTTCAATTATCAAGTTCTTGTGCTCGTTATAATGGTGGTTTTTGTTTACTCTTATGAGATATTTGGCTGGTTTTTGCAGCAACCTTCCAACATTCTTGGGTGGTAACTGCACATGTTCTGAACATGGTGGTTGCCTCTCAAGTGACAAAGGACCATGGAATGATCCAGAAGTTACAGACATCCTTCAGGTTTTATTCCTAAAAAAACATGTTTGAATTGAATGTTTTTTTGAGATAAATGTCATATTATCTTTATATAATCTTGATATTATATAACAAATCTGATCTTCATCTAGGCCATGCTTGAGGCAGATGAGCAGTGTGACAATAATCCACCAGCTACAAGAGACATCTTTGACGGTGATACAGTAAGGAAAATTCGTCGATCTTTAGAATAGCTCGAGAAGAATAAATGCTAATAATTTCTCATAACATAGGAGAATGTACAGATTAAAGATGTTTATGATGTGACGCCAGAAAGAGAGCCGAGTATTGGGCAATCGAATAAAGCGCAAGTGTTTGATCCACATTTCATGCAAAAGGTTTCGAGAATTGAAGCTGTCGTTAATGACACGAATGCGGTAAGCTTTTGCATCTCGTTTGTGTTTGTTGAGCATATAATGTATATATAAAATAATAAACGCGGACAATCAGTCTCACTGTCTGTTTAAACATCGTTACGTTGTGTGCCTGCAGAAAATCCAAAAGTTGGAAGATGCACTTAAGGATACCAAATTGGTTAGCATCTTTAAAGATCTTGCAACCTAAGCTCTTGCTTTTGCTAGCAACTAACTATCTCTCTCTCTCTCAGGTTTTGCAAACACTTACAGAACACATGGAAGATTTGAAAAGAGGATTGTTGTAACAAACATTATACTATAGCTTATGTTGTCATATGTTATTGTGTGGTATGCTATACTATGATTGTAATTCATATTTTCTCCAAAATAGTTCGGATAGTGGTTACAAGTTTCTTTTAATTATAAGTGGGATTATTGAAAGACAATTATTTGTTGGTAGAGAGTAGCTAATATTAAATAGTTTTAAAAATTGGGAATTATTAAAGATGTTTAACAAAGAATAAAGACAGTTGATTATACGTAAAAAGGTTGGAACAAGACAATTGACTTCAGATACTACATTATTAAACAAATTGCTCAATCAAACATGAACCATGTGGTTTGATTAAATGGATGTATTATAACTAATCACAAGAATAATGATCACAAGTTCAATGAACATTAGCATAATCACTTCCTAGTTCCCTCCCTTGAAATATAATCCAAAGACCCCACCTTAAAGTTGCAATATATACTTTTATATATATATATATATATACACCAAGAGGCAAATAGCTATGCAGATTATATTAATCCAACCAGTGTTGCAAAAATCCCGCCTAGACACCGATTAATCAGCGTCTAGGCGCTAGCCGACTGTCTAATGCCTAACGTATTACCATAATCAGTGGTCTAGGCGGCTGGCTGGCTAGGCAACCGACTAGGTCGCCTAATCAGCCGATTAGCTATTGTTACTCAAAATGACATCGTTCCGAACGAAATAACCTTAAATTGTTCAAACTCTAGTGGTGCGTTTGGGAATCAGAATCGAAATGTGATTCAAATACTGGATATAGAATTGGAATCGGAATGTGAATCGCACAAAGTCTCAATTAGACCCCAAATGTAACATAGTACTATTAAACACACAATAATCACAACAAACTAGAAGTCTACCACTCTAAACCAACCAACAACAGTTATCAAACATCCTAGGAAGACCAGATAGAAACAGCAATACATTGAAACCAAATCTTTCTACTTCCCAACTGCTTTTAACTTCCAGAAATATAGTTAACAGACATCACAGTTAACTCATAGGCAGTGCATGAAAGATGTCCAAACAGATAACCCTACACGTAAATAATCAGTTAATCGACAATTTTTTGTCTGCAGTTAACACTACATAATAGAATAGACAATACCAAAATAGGCTTGCAAGAAGGAAGAAAACTCACTCCATATAAGATATCGAATATCCGTTAAGTTCTTCAGCACCTCCAAGCCGTAGCTGAGAGTAGCTCCCGGTTTTGCCAGCAAAGGGCGAGCGATGCGTGGTGCTTCTGCACGTGGAATCCCCGGGTTTCGGTTCTTTTCACGACACATTCAGCTTGGGTTTCAGCGAAGTTGCTAAACGGGTGTGGTTGGAACCCGGCGGATGCGAAGAGGTTTCTCCAGGGAGGCATTTGGTCGGGGAAACGGAGGTGCCCAAACACGATGCTCTCGATGCTAGGCTGGAAGAGGAACCGTTCGATCTTGTTTGATGCGTCTGGTGTCACGTTACCCGCATCGATGCTCTCGAAAAGAGCCTCGAAGTATTGAAGGGCGTTGAGGAGGTGGTGTGGGAACGGGAGCTCGGTTCGTTCATATCCACGGGCCAGAGAAACCACAACTTTGGGCGAAAGCTGCTTTATATAATGCAGCAGCAAAGGGAGTGTGGCTCGGTGGCTTGAAACGGACCATACCGGGAAATTCACAGCAATCGCCTCACTCTCGGAGGATCGGAAAGAAGACACCGGATAAGAACTCGGATCGAAAGAATCGAAGTTCACCACTTCAAGTTCGAACTTAACACCAACTTCATTAGCAAATTGGGTCAAATTCTCGTGCATAAGGTTGATCTCGATGGGATGGTGGGTCGAAGGAGAAGCGAAGGCAGTTATTTTCAACCAAGGCGGGGCTCTTCTATTCCTCCTAGGAAGCTCTTGCATAAAAGACGACCATTGGGCACCAAAGGCAATATCGAAGTCGAAGATGTGGATACACTCTGCCCCATCAACCGCCTCGAGAATTGCCTGATTGGAGGTGAAATTCATGAATTGGATAAGCGGTGAGACCTCGGAGAAGACCTTATAAGCGCCCATCTTGAACACCCCATCAACGGGACTAGGAATTCTCGGTGGCAAAGAGGGCACAGAAGTAAGAGGCAAATGGAGAGCCTCTTTGAAGTAAAAAGCAGCCCTCTCCAAGGGCTTAGCCATGGGAGAGAGCCGGTGATTGAGCCGCGCCAATATCATTTCAGCGTTCGAGAATTGCAAGTTCAGAATCAACTCCGCCGCCTTATAAACATAGTCATACACAGCCTGCTGTTCTTGCAGGTTTTCGGTGCCAAAACCCGCCTCTTTCTTGGGCTGAACAGACAGTATATCCGGTGGTCGATCCAAAAACCCATTACTTGGATTCAGAAACACACCTTCTGAAACCCGAGAACCCGAATTCTGGCGCTTCGATGGGGGCTGCTGTTCTTGATGAATGCCATAGAGTGGAGAGCTAAACACATTAGGGCTCATCACAACATTCTGAAGCTCAGTCAATACTGGGGAATTGAAAGTTTGAGGCTTTTGTTCATATTGCAGTTCTTGAACACTCAGACCAGAACCTAAAATTGCCAAATTACTATGTGGGAAATTAACATTTGGGCCTTGAGAGTTACCATTGTAGTTATCTGAGACAATGGGGAGTTTAAAGTTAAATTAAATTAAATTAAATTAAATTAAATCAATTTCTTGATTAAACGAAAAGGCATAAATAAATGGGGGAAACAAGAAAAATTACCAGAACTAGTGGTTTGATCAGAAGCCCCAAACCCGATCTCACTTGGGTTGTTTCCTCCTTGAAGGAGCTGCTTCAAGCTTAAAGATGGGTCCTCCACGTCGCCGGAAATCCACCGGAGAAGATACTGGTCCGACCCGCCGGATTCAGCCAACAAACACTCCCAATCTTCCATTCCAAGATCAAATTTTTCCGGCCCCTCGCTCCACTCCGGCGCAGGGTGAAGCTCTCCCACGCACTTTTCTTTAGCCTCCATAGTTTGAGTGGTAGTGGCGATGGGCGGAGCCACTAGGCTTGCCGTTTTATACCCACCGCCGCCGCCGTGGGAGGAGGAGGAAGCGGAGGTGGAAGTGGAGGGGCTAGGACTCCTTGTATCCAGAACGGAAACCGGTTCACTGCTCGCAAAGCCGCCATTTTTCTTGAACTTGGCCGCATCTGGGGGCACCAAGGAGGAAGAAATTGCAGACCCAAACCGTGAAACTTCAACGACACTTTTCCCCTGCAAGCTATTGCTATTATACTGCATTCCTATCATCTGCAAATGCAAGAAACCTGAGAAAAAACACAAAAAAATCCCCAGAACCCAATACCAAATCTCAAGTTCAATAGAGATCCAGGAGAAACAAAACCACAAAATAGAGCTTCTTCAATGGCAGAGAAGACTCAAAGGCTTCAAAGCTATGAACTTTACACTCCGGGCATCTTTCTTTCCCAGTAACTTAGCCATACCACCATTGCAGAAGCTCCATTCTCTAGTCTCTACACCATACCTCACCCCCCTTGCACCTTTTTCACAATTTCACCCTGCAAATTGTAATCTTTCACTCTTTTTTTGGGTCTTTCCTGAGTCTATATCACAACTCCCTAGGCAAGGTCGCTGGGCTAGGCTTTCTTTTCTTTGATTTTCTTGGTTTTTATACAGTTCTGGGTTGCCTAGCTCGCTAGTCGCTAGGCTACACCACTTTTTGTGTTACTGTTCTGTGCTGTGTAGTGTGTACCCTTCTTCTCAGTTCTCTGCTGGCTGCGGACATCATAAAAAGGCAACAAAAGTTTTACCCTCCACTTCTCTCGCCTTAAATTTCGCTATATTTACCGTTCCGGGACTGTAAAAACTACTCCCATATTTGGGTCTCAAATGGGACAAATTCATCTAAAGTGTTGCCTTTAATTTAGGGACATGTAAATTTTTGTCAAAATTGAATTAATGAATACCATCAAGAAAGTTTTGTTATTAATAGATGAATCAAGTTTTTTTTTTTTTTTTTTTAAATAACGCGGAAGCAATCACCCTAAGATAATCTATAATTAAAATAGACTTAATATCAATTGGCAAAGTGCGTAAAAACGTGTATTTTTGTTGGTTAGAGGGTAAATTAGTTATCAAACAATTGCTAGAAGATGGTAAAATATGTCTTTCTTGTTCCTTTGCACAATTTTTCAATAACCACTTGATAATTGCTCTTTAATACTACATCTTTATGTCTCGTGGTCCAAATCATATATAGATCACGATAAATACCCCAACGATCTATGTATGTGTGTATGCCCTCCAACGAGCTGAGAGCAGGTGCTATGGTCGTCTGCCCAGAGCAGATCCTTCATGTCCTCTGGTGCGTTTTCAAGAATGATGGTCTCACAATCTTTAAAAACGCAAAGGTCACTACATGTCATCTGAGCACAAGGTGTTTGACAATCTTTTGGTTAAGTTAATGTGTAAATTACATATTCAGCTAATGGATAAAATATTTAAAACTTTGGTAAATCAAATTAACTATTTGTGTACTCCTACTTCTTCTCTTGTTAAAATAAAAGGAAAATACTTATTTGTACTGTGAAGAATTCATGCTTCAATATCCCCAAAAAGGTGGTTACAAAAGTGAATGATATTCTCATATAAAAAAAATTATGAGTTTAATTTTTGTCAATATTCTCTTAGTCTAACTTGTAACGTGTGGTTTGTGGGTTTATGACCTATGGTGTTGCATTTGGCTTTTGGTTTAGAATGGCTAAAACCAATACCTCTTTTTGTTAGTTGCAAATGGTATGGGCAGCAAGCACCTAGGAATCTAAGTAACAATATACTTGAATTTTAATTTTAATTTTAATTTTTATTTTTATCCAATATCCAAATATTATCATGAGATTAAAAAAAAAAAAAAAAAAAGATATTTTACTTTTTGATATGCAATAGGGCAAAATTGTAAACTTCTTATCTTGAAAATTGTTTATGTCAATTTAAATATTTTGAGTTACACCACGAATTTTGAAATCGTTTTTTTAAAAGGAAAAAAAAAAAGTGAGAAGACCACATGATACGTTAAAAAGAGGGCCAATGATGTAATTTTGCCTACTTAAAGCTAAAATTGGCGGCTGGGTCCTGGCTAGTGGTTACCGTTAATTAAATATAAATATTACCGCGCTTTATTTTTCTTCTTTTTTTAAAAAATATTTTTTAATAATAAAAAAATTCGTAGTTATGATTTAATGGTGTTACAGCGTAAATTATGTTTCTGTTAATACTCTATAGCTTACAAATCACATAGCAAAGATAATGATAACACTTGTGGTAGACTGTCTCACGGGTCTCTATCCGTGAGACGGGTTGGATCTTTGATTAATGAGTCAAATCTTTGATTAATGGGTCGAATTTTTGAATTTATTAATCAACGATCAGACCCGTCTCACGAATTGAAACACATGAGACGGTCTCACACAAAAAAATTTCAGAGATAAATGCAATAGACCCTATTCAACAGTTGCATAAATCCCGTTCTTGTATACTAACTCATAATTTGACGATTATGTAAATCTTGCGATTAAAAAGTTGATAAAAATGAAATTATATTATTTAAATAACAAAATCATGTTTATGTTTTTCACTTTTTGTCAAAGGCTCAAAGCTGCGTTTGGAAAGGCGAGGATGGTAAAAAGTACTGTAGTGATACTGTGATAGCACAGTAGGACTGTTTTGTCATTTTGAAAAAAAGCTGCAATGTTTTCAATATTATTTATTATTAATTTTTATTATTATCCTTTGGGTTTTTGTTATCCAGGGGCTCTTTTGTCCAAAAGAGATCACACACCCCCAGCTAAAGCTGCAATCCTGCATTCTTGTGGTCCTCACGTGTATAAATTATGATAGAGTGCAAGGGCCTAACATATAAAATTCATTTACAATTAATTTCAAACTCCACCCCCTAATCTTCATTTTATTGCACTATTTAGCCGCTTGAGGGGAGAAAACAAAACAAAATACGCATTTAGGATGACCATAATTTGGTCCGAATCGAACCAAACACTATAGTAAGTAAACTAAAATCAGGACTGTAAGGGCAATTTTGGTTCCGATTCCGGTTCATAAATGAAACTCAAAAAGTTACGATTCAAATTCGAAACCCAAAATGTTTCGGTTATGTTTTATTAAAATCAAGAATCAAAATTGCTGGTACCGGATTCTGAATCGATGATTTTTTTTTAAAGGAAAAGGATGGACTTAGTTGGAATAGATTCCGACACAAAGAATATATATATATATATATATATATATATATATATATATATATATATATATATATATATATATATATATATATATATATAAAATAAAGTTCAAATGCGGCGGGGTCTTCCCGTGCGGCGGTGCGGTGGAATTCCAGAATACACCAACAATGTTAACAATATGCACCAACAGTGTAACAAAAACACACCTTAATGAAATGCAATAAAACATCACAAAATACACAACAAACTTAAAAAAATACACCATATAACTCACCACCCCCAATGGTGTATTTCTGACAGTGTAGGGTGTTTTTACTCACACCTAATGGTGTGTGTTTGGTGATGCAGGGCTCTGTTTACTCTGTTTTTTATGGTGTGGGCTTTGTTTACTCTGTTTTTTGTGATGTATTTTTCTAACGTTGATGGTGCATATTTGTTGAACTATTGGTGTTGCCGTACCGTAAGACACTGCCGCACCTGAACTCGCATATATATATATATATATATATATATATATATATATATATATATATATATATATATATATATATATATATATATATATATATATATATATGTATGTATGTATATATATATATATATATATATATGTGTGTGTGTGTGTATATATATATATTTATATTTATTTATTTATTTATTTAAGTTCGAATTAGTGGTTCAACCCAGCACTGTGAACCGATGGATCGAAACTAAAATCGAAATCGTTTCTACAGTTTTAATCATATCATTACTGGTCTAAGTCTCGTTTACACATTTCTATCAAGTTTATTATGAGATGTTGAGATATGTCGCATCCATTTAACCGTTTAACAATTAAACCTGAGTTACTCAACTACAACAAACCGAAATATTGTTGTCTATACTCACTTAAAGATTTGGGTGATTGTTCACACATCTTCTTTCATCACACCTCACATTTTAATATTATACGTAAAATTTCTATATTAATAACATAAAATATTTTGACGAGACAAAGATTACTTATAAATAACAACACATTTAGTCTCGTTGTTGTGGTATTAATATGGTATTAATCCATAAATTATTTGTGGTGTAAATTTTGTCATTAAATTTGTAATGAAAATCCAAATCTAGTCACTAAAATTAAGGTTTCATTAAAACCTAAATAGTAAATTTTCCAATCTACTAATAACTTATAAACTATATTTCCACAACAAATAATTTACAAATTAAATCCACACCATAACTACTATTGAGGGCAAAATTTGTTTGGGTTGAAGTATATGTAGAGTATTGTGTTTTTTTTTTTTTTTATTCGGATAACGAAAAAAATCTGCAGTTATTATTCAAAATTATTCACTTTTATATATTCCATAATAATTTGTAAATTATACAAAAAAAAGAGTAAATTACATTATGAAGGTCCCGTGTAACACACTCAACTAAAATGGTATTGACAAAAATCAAACTTATGACGTTTTGGTATTAGCATAATATACATTTTGAACAATGGCGATCAGATTTCTTGAATTGTTTAATTTTTGTTAATAATCACAAAAACAAATAATAATAGATTGTTGACTTAATTCATGATTTGGTCCCTTGACTATTAGGATTTCACCACATTAGTCTTTGATTTCTAAGCTTGCTTAATTTCATTTCAACTATGCAATTGTTAATCAATATGATCATAATCAGAACTACTTTGGTTTGAACAAAGAATTATTTTAGATAAAAAAATACATAATTAGAGACGAAATTGAGTACATTTAAAAGTGAATAATAAAAATGGTGAAATCTTAATAATCGAAAGCCCAAATCCAATATTAACTCTAAAATGTTCTTCCAAACAAAATAAGTCAGTAATTTTTTTCTCAAAAAAAAAAAATAAATAAAAATAAGGCAGTAATTGACTAGAATGCCCACAGGGGTTGTGTATTTACCATTATGAGCAGCTTTTCAATGCGTCAGACGTTTGAGTTAAAGAACATTTTACTTTGTCTGACCGCTGTCTCCTGCTTTTACTAGGATTCAATTTTATCGAGGTCCGCAAACTCCACGATGGATAAATACACCACAGAAAATACTATATGTATTCCTAATTTTTATATCTTCTCACATAAAATTTTGATATAAATACTTGTACTGAAACTCACATAAAAAGAATAACTTAGAGCCTACTACATTCAGAAATAAATTTTAAAAAGTAAATATTTCTTCCCAAAAGGTTGAATCCTCCGCCACAAGAAATAATAATAATAATAATAATAACCTATGAAAATTCCCTTTCAAAAAAAAAAAAAAACCTATGAAAATTCAGATTAACACCGTGTCAAATTGTATCGATTAACATTTAAAATATACTTTTACTTATATTAGTTACTATAAAGATATGTTTGAAATTCTTACGGTTTCTGATGTAATCTAAACTATTTTTCTAATTTGATTGTACTTGATACAAATTGGTGTGTACTAACTAATATCTTAAAATTTTTCATAATATTACCTGATTTTATTTATTAGTGATATTTTGATT